AATTGTACTCGGACTTCTGTTTAATTTTATCTTCTCTACCTTAGTTCTTTTTTTTTTTTCTTTAATTTTTCTTTTTTAAAAAGATACATTTATTTGTGAAAGAGTGAAAGTGTGAGCAAACAGGGTAAGGGGCAGACAGAATCTTGAGCAGACTCCCTGATGAGCAGGGAGCCTGATGTGAGGCTCAGTCCCAGGACCCTGAGATCATGACCTGGACAAAATCGAGAGTCAGACACTTAACCAACTGAGCCACCCAGGTGCTACCCTGCCTTAGTTCTTTATAAGTGAAACATAGGAAATAATAGTTCTCACCTCGTAGGTTTATGGTGATAATTAAGTGGCATGATGCATGTAAAACACATAGCATAGTACAAAGCACATTGTAAGTACTTAATAAAACACTGGCTCTCGTAATTAGATGACAGCACTACTTGTAGGATGACTAACTCTGCAATGAGGTGATTTATTGTAACGGCTCCTAACACAGTGCCTGATACGTTGTAATTACATGATAAATGGTTGTCATTAACGATGATCGGGATTTGCAGATACCATTAATAGGAATACTGGTAGATTTATCCAGAGCTTGAAAGAGCCGAGTTTAGATTTTGATTTTTCTTTGAAGAATAAAAGCAATCTTTAGCTTTAGGCAACTTATATAATCTTTCTAAGCTTCGGAGTTACGTTCTCTCAAGTGGAGACGGTAATGAGGATCAAATAAGATAGCGTTAACGATGTACGTAGTACAGAACAGGTCCTCTTATTGCTAGTTCCTGTCACCCTATCACGGTTGTGACTTCTGAAGCCAGTTGTTTGTAATGGAAGACAATTCTTTGAATTTATACATCTAAATAAGATTTAAGCTGCTCTCACAATGCACATTCATTAATATCTATCAGAGGTTTGATAAAACCCTTCCACTTTTTGATTTGTGGAAATTTAGATAGAGGGTGGAATGGGTAGGTATGATTACGGCAGAGAGCAGACATAAAAGTCTGTTTTTATCTTTTTATTTTTCTCAGGGAACTCTTGCAGCAGACAAGAATGAGATTTTGTTTTCCGAATTCAACATCAACTACAATAATGAGCCACTGATGTATAGGAAAGGGACTGTGTTGATATGGCAGAAGGTAATGCTGTTGTGTCCAAAGAAAAATGGAGGTCAGAAAGACAAAAGCCTGTGCCCATCCCAAGCTTTGTCTTTCCTACTACATGTATGCAGATGTGATTCTAGTCACTAACATGAATTAGATCTTTTTAAAAATGAAATGCTGTATATTATTTTGGATGCTTTTTTTTGGTCAATGCTAATTTTGCTAGTTAGTGTTCTTTATGGTTTAGAATTTCTTCTCTAAGTGGCATCACCAATTTTAGAATTAGTAACACTTATTTTTCTGTGTCCTAAGCTCTCCAAATCAAATAAAACCCTATAAAGGGTACACTGCAGATAGAAGGATTTTTGCATTCATAGAACATTTCTTCCACACTGGATAATACCATTAAATAGTCCATCCATCCCATGACAACTATAATATGAGGCAGTAGGTGTCGTATATGAGGGTTCTGTCACTTGCAGAATATTCTGGAGATTCCCCAGATATTCATACTTACCCTAATATTCTGTAATAAGTCTGTACATATACCTAAATTCTTAATTTTCAATATTTTTCCTCCATAGCAGCTTCTGAGCATGATTTCTCTAAATTTATCTCCTTCCATGTAAAGTACTTTTTCTTCTTAATGAGTTTTCCAAGTGTTAAGTGGTGCCTTAAGAATTAGTCATCCCATTGGCAGCTTTAGCTTATTAGTATTTTTAAAGCACATTTGCTCTTTAGCACAGGCTTGGATACTTCTTAATGCAGATGAGAGAGCAGAATTACCTTTAATTCTGTAGTTACTGCTGATAAGGAACATGGAATCACTCCTTTGTTCCTAAGATCTTGTTTGGAAATATAGCAACATAACTTTTTAAAAAAGTTTTTATAAGCAAATTCATAAATGTTGAGATATGTGTATCAGTATATCTACTTGATAAATATATATCACTCAGAAATATAAAAAGTAAAAAACTAAACTTCCCTCATATCCCCCTCTTCTCTCCCAAACCCAGTTAACAATGTCAGTATTTTAACTTTTCCCTGTAGGTGGGTGAAGTCACAACAAAAGAAGTTAAACTGCCAGCAGAAATGGAAGGAAAAAAGATGGCAGTGACCCGGACCAGGACAAAGCCAGTGCCTCTATATTGTGATATAATTGGGGATGCTTTTTGGAAGGAACATCCAGAGATCCTAGATGAAGACAGCTGATCCTTTGCTTTTAGCCCTGGCATGCATAACCATACAAGACCTGCTCTTTCCCACTCCCCAAGTCTCCTGGCCTTAGGTGCCCTAGGATCCCTACTACTGAGAACAGTGTGCTGGGAGTGACACATGACTGCTCTGAGAGGGAACAGGAAAGAAGGGATGGATGGGGTGGTTATCTTGTTCTGCTTTAAGTAGAACATTTTTTTACAATGTTGGAACATGGTTCCTTCTGTAGAAGTGCATTTTTTTTTTTTTTTAAATCCTGGTGCTATTTTTATAAAGCAAGAACTATTTTATGCTTTGCAGAATGAATCATTTTTAGATTGTGGCATAAGTCTTATAAAAACTTGTCAAGCCTTTTCTACCTGATAGAATATGAATCCAAACTTTACTCTCAACCACCTGTTCTTAACTACAGACTCCACTAACCTTGAAAATCTCACCTTTCCTACCCATGGACACTGACCTGGAGGTAAATAATGGGTTGGTGGCTGCATGAGTTCAGCAATTCTGGCCTCTGAGTTCAGGAATTCCCAGGGAGAATCAGGGTTTTGTGCAGTTCCCAAGTTGGCAACTTTGGCTGAACAAATGAGTAGTAGTTTGGATGTCCTTGTGTAAACATTCCATAGATTGATTTTGTGGAGTTGTCAGCATGATCATTGTCTCACCAGGGGTATCTCCACGGCCACTAACCTCTTTCTAAGAAGAAAGAGAATTATGTGTATATATGAGGAAAAATGTGAAAATGAATGAAAAAGGAAGAGAAAACACTGACTCCATGTCCTGTAAATACTTCAGTTCTAAAATTTACCTTCCTGCTGGACTTCCTGAAAATGATTCTCAGGTAGCCTCTATGTAATCAGAACACTGACATTTGAGTTAAGACAGTAGAGTGGTCAATACTGGGTCACAAGTGGCAGGTGTCAAACGACACCTAATAGTCCCAGCTCCTGATGGGCCCTTGTAGATGGGGAAGGAGCAGCAGTAATTGCATGTTGCCAAGCTGCTAGCCTCTGAAGCAAGGGGTCCCCCTCTGAAGTGAGGATAGGTGGTGAGAGAACTCACATTGCCCATTGTCCTCGTTTCATATTTCAGAGGAAGATTATTTGGCTCCATCAGGAATTAATTAAGGGACACCTGAGTGGCTCAGTTGGTTAAGCATCTGCCTTCGGCTCAGGTCATGATCTCAGGGTTCTGGGATCAAGCCCCACGTCAAGCTCCCTGCTCAGTGGGGAGTCTGCTTCTCCCTCTCCCTCTGCTGCTCCTCCTGCTTGTGCTGTCTGTTGTTCTGTCAAATAAAATCTTTCAAAAAGGAATTAAGCGGCAGCCTACATTTTACAGTCACGAAGAAAATGTATTTTTGAAGGCAACAGCTGGTGGTCTTCACTAACTGATACCTCATCTATCCGAATCATTTTTTCCCTTCCTGTTCTCATTATACAGGAAAAGATTTGGTGCATGTTAGGTAATTAATAAAATCTCTTTAAGAAAAAAAAAAAAAAAGGTTTCAACTCCCTTGGCCTCATTTTTCATTTACTTTTCTCATACGAATCCAACTTTTGTATATATGTGTCTTCCACATAAGCCAGGATAAATGTACCTTCATCACAGCAGTGGTTCACAGACTTCTGCATACAAAAATTTACCTGGAATGCTTGTTTTAAGTGCTATTAACTTTCATCTTGCTTTCTAACGTAGAGAACAGCATTCTCTTGGGCTTTCCAAAGCTTAAGGAAATGTTAAAACACAAACAGTATACAATTAACACTACATAGTTAAGGAGAGTGTGGCAGGAAGGTGATTTGTGTGGCTTGTAGGTAACGAAACAGCTGTGCTGGATGAGGCAGTAACACCTGGCCTTCCGTACAGACTCTTACTTTAATATCAAAAAGCAAAAATGTTTTGCTGAACAGAAGCTAGAAAATATCAAGTGGTACAACCAGGTCTTCTAAATCTTTCATCATCCTGGCTTCCAAGAGCTGGATCCTAGTTTCCTCCACTTGCCTAAGCAGTGCTTTAGGAAATCAGTAATCCAGTGAGTTTTCTTTAATACTAAGGTCGCTCTGGTATTAGCGCAAATTACTTTTTGCATCGGGTGCAGGAAATGGAGGACTGGTGTCCATCCTTGCTTCAGAGCTTCATTGTCTAATCCTAACTAGCTAACATAGGGCGTTTATATGCTCTCCATGCAGTATGTCTTCATTTCTTAGGAGAATTTGGTGGGTTAGGTACTATTTCTATCATATTTCAGGTGAGAATGTAAAGACCCAAAGAAGCGAAATAACTTGAGCCCAGGTAGGCTCGCCCCCAGCGAGGCTTGGCATGAAAGCATACTGGGACTCTGCCCTCTTCCAGCCTCTTCCCACCAGCTCAAGCTGGGAGTATACGGCAGTTTGAGAGCAGGGAAACGCCTAGGGAGGCTTGTTAAAATGCCGATTCCAAGATCCACCCCCGGGGAATCTGGAGTATTAACAAACACCCTAAGTGATAATGATATAATTGGGGAAACACGGCAGTCAAACAGATTAATCTGTTATCCAACCGGTGTAAAGGGCCCGGCGGGGCTGAACGCGGACAGATGCTGCCCTCCGGCGGCCGCGTCGGCGCAGTGCAACCCCAGTCCGCGGCTGCGCAGTGCCGCCCTCTGGCGGCTCCGCTCCTTCTTCCCATCGGCCTCGGCTTGCGGGCCTTTCAAACATGGAGGAGCGGGAGCGGGGGGCGAGGTCGGCTCGCGCCGGGAGCCCCGCGCGCCCGCCGAGCCCGCGGTTGGATGTCAGCTCTGACAGCTTCGACCCTCTGCTGGCCCTGTACGCGCCCCGCCTGCCGCCCATCCCCTACCCCAACGCGCCCTGCTTCAACAACCTGGCCGAGTACGAGAGCTTCCTCAGGACCGGGGTCCGGGGCGGCGGGCGCGGGCGGGCGCGGAGCGCGGCCGCGGGCTCGGGGGTCCCCGCCGCCGCTGCTGGGCCCTCGGCCAGAACCCGCCGCCGCCAGGACGCCCCCGCTCCAGACCCCGAGCGCATCCAGCGCCTCCGTCGCCTCATGGTGGCCAAGGAGGAAGGGGACGGGGCCGCTGGGGCGCGCCGGCGGGGTCCGGGTCGGAGCAGGAAGGCGCCGCGCAACGTGCTCACGCGAATGCCCTGTGAGTCCGGCGGGCGCGGGCGGGGTGGGGTGGGGTGGGGACGAGGGCCCCGCCGGCTGCCCGGAAGGTGGTGGCCCAGGGGGCGTTTGCAGAGCGCTAGGGACTTGGAGCAGGTCCGCACGCATTAGGGGGAGGGTCTTGGTGAAGGCTGCAGAGATAATCCGCCACCTTAAGGAGGTTCTCCGTGTGTCAAGTGGCTAATGGGGGCGTGGGGAGGGTCTTCTGGAGTAATGAGAGGTCTGCATGAGGGAGCGGGGGAAGAGTGCTAAGACTGTAGAGGTAATAAGGAGCCATGGGAAGGGTCTGGCGGGTAAAGGTGTAAGTCAGCGGGGTTAACGGGGTCCGTACAAATGGCTACAGGGGTGATGAGGGGCCTGCAACGAGGGTCTGCGGGTGTGGTGGGGATCTGAAGAGGCGGTGGGGCCCGGAAACGGGACATCACAAGGAGGATCTGCAGAGGTGATGAGAAGTCTTAGGGACCACAGCCAGAGGGGAAGGCACAACCAGTATTAAGGAAAGGAGAGTGTTTGGTTAGTGGGATTGAGGATGGTGGGATGGAGTGTGGGGAGACCTATCTGTTCAGTTAGACCAGGGGACATAATCTCATAACTCCTGCACATTGACAGCTCCTTCCAGGGTGCTTATAGGAGAAGGGCTATGGGGTATTGATACACATGTTTGCATTACCAAATCACAAGTGCTGGAATGCAGCAGGCACAAATGCCACTTAAACCCAGACACTGCTTCACAGCCATTCTGCCAGGATGGGCACAGGAGTGTGTCTGTCAGGCTCATATTACCATATGTGCAGGTTATTTTAAGTTCTGAAGGTGTAAATGACACAAGGGAATCTCTTGGACCTTCCTAATAGATCCTTAGAGTAAAGCTGTAAACAGGGGAGGTTGCTAATGTGTGAGTTAGGTCTTAAGCACATGGAATAAAAACAGCCAAGGGTTATGTCTTTTGTCATCTGGCAAGCATTTCTGACATCTGCCACTGAACGCCATGACCTAGTTAGCCATTCAAAGAAAGCATCTGTATCCTGATAGCTAAATTGTAACATTATTAAATCACTGCCTTTAGAGGGTTGTGCTAAGCAAGGGAATATTTTGTTTCATTCCTAGAAGTGTTTATTAAGAAAGAAACATCCTGAAAAGTTGTGTGCAGTCAGATGTATCTTTGTCAGATCATTTACTGTGACAGATAGTGCCAGAGCATTCTTGCCAAAGCTAGGGTGAACCCCAGCTTGCTTGCCCAACAGTAACACAAAGATAATGTATGCGTGTTCCTAAAATAAGAGCAGTTTGGGGGACCTTATTTTGCCTAGACTTTTTGCCACTATCAGATCTTGGAAATGCACTCCAAGCCTCAGATTGTAACATTTATTTCCATTTTGCCAGTTGTTGCTTTGCTACTGAGACTGGCAAGGGAAAGACATATTTCCATATGGCAAGTGGTTTTAGCTTTACCTATGGAGCACTGTGCTATATTGGTAGGACAGAGCATGAAAACAGCTTTGTTGATTTCCCATGGTTAAATATATGCCTGGAATCAATATCTCAGAATGTGCTATAGACACTGAAAATTTTATTTTATTTTTAAAGATTTTATTTATTTATTTGTCAGTGAGAGAGAGAGATAACAAGCAGGGGGAGCAGCAGGCAGAGGGAAAGGGAGAAGCAGGCTCCTTGCTGAGCAGGGAGCCTGACGCCAGGCTTGATCCCAGGATCCTGGGATCATGACCTAAGCTGAAGGCAGACGCTTAACTGGCTGAGCCACGCAGGCGCCCCAGCACTGAAAATTTTAACCACATCACTAGAAACAGCTGTTTCTAGTATACATGATAGTATACTAATAGAGTATACATGAGTATACATTTCTAGTATACATGAGTATACATGATAGAGATGGGTAGACCTCTGAGAACTGGTGAGCTTCAGGAAGCAAGAAAAGTGCAGGCATGTCTGGATGTCTCAGTCGAATGTCTGACTCGATTTAGGCTCAGGTCATGATCTCAGGGATGTGAGATCTATCCTGGGCCCTGCCTGGGGCTCCCCATTCAGCAGAAAGTCTGCTTCTCTCCCTCTCCCTCCCTCTGCCCCTCCCCCTGCTCATGCACACACACTCTCTCTAAAATAAATAAATGAATCTTCAAAAAACAAAAAGGAAGAAAGTAAAAAAGTACAGAAGCAAGGGTGAAGATTAAATTTATTCAGAAAGAGTTCCTGGAAGATTTTGGCTTCAGATCTTAAAGTTAATTTAAGGAAGGACATGGTTGAAGATAACAGTAATTATTTAAAAATTAAGCTATTGAGGTATAATTTACACACAACAAAATAGCTTTGAATGGCTAACTAGGTCATTGTGTTCAGTGGCAGATGTCAGAAATGCTTGCCAGATGACAAGCATTTTGAGTGAGTTTTGACAAATGTGCAGTTGTGAAATTACCACCGCAATCAAGATACAGAACAAATCATCATCCCAGAAAGTTCCCTCATACTTTTTTAAGTCAATAGACAATTTCATTGTTGCTAATTATAGCTACTGTTATTTAGCTGGTAAGTGCTGTGCACTTTGCTAAGCCCTTTAGATGCCTTATATCTGACTTTACCCCTAGATACTATTTTATAAATGAAGTTTGTTGAGCTTAACTACTTGCCCAAGATCACATAGCTAGTTAGTTTGCATGTGAGACTTAATGCTGAGTTTGTCCAAGTCCAGGGCCTGTGTGTCTGGGCCATTATGCTAATCTCAAGTAAAGGAAGAGGGGAGTACATTCTCATTTTTCTTTGCTTGCTTCTTTTGGTGGGTGGAGGGTGCCACATAAGTGAGGCAGAGGGGTGTTTGTCTAGGGTAATGAGAACTGAATTTGGGTCCAGAGAAGGATTTGTTAAAATACTTTGAAGACCAAAGAGTTTCTCTTTGACTTTATTTTGATAGATAGTGGGAACCATCATGTATATTCTTAAGCGAAAGTACTTTTAGGGCAATGCTTCTAATAACTTACTTTCTAGTAGTAAAATGTATTTATAGAGGTTTAGACCACAAACTCAAGGGTTTGACTGCTGACTTTTTTAGTTTTGAACACTGACTCCTCCACTTTCTAGCTGTTTTCAGTAGGTAAGTAACTTAAACTCTTTGGGCCCTCAGTTTCCTCATCTGTAAAGTGAGGACAGTAATAGTATCTATTTATAGTTGTTAGGTTTAAGCTAGTTAACCCATTCAAAGCTTTACACCTAGGGAAATTCTCAGTAAATGTTAAATGTCATTGTGATTGTTATAGGTTATATTTGTGGTTATTGTTTTAGACTGTCATAATTAAAAGCTCCAGGTCAGGATGTATATATACCCTGCCTGTATTGGGTGTTGGCTCAGCTGTTCACTAGGTAGGTAACCTTGAGAAATTATTTATTTATTTATTTATTTATTTATTTTAAAGATTGATTTATTTATTTGACAGAGATCACAACTAGGCAGAGAGGCAGGCAGAGAGAGAGAGAGGAGAAAGCAGGCTCCCTGCTGAGCAGAGAGCCCGATGTGGGGCTCGATCCCAGGACCCTGGGATCATGACCGGAGCCAAGGGCAGAGGCTGTAACTCACTGAGCCACCCAGGTGCCCTGAGAAATTATTTACATAAACATTTCTGAGCCTCATTTTCCTCATCTATAAAGTGGGACAAAATAATATGTTAAAGTTGTGAGGATTAAATCAAGTAACATGCATAAAGTTAAACTTACCCCAAGGCCTGGCTCATACCGACTGCTCAGTAATTGGTGATAATTGATGGTGTCAGGGATGATCTGAGGGGAACTGGGAGACTGTTGTAGTAAACCAATCATCTGATAAGGCTCTGGACTGTATTATTGGTTGGGGAAGGAGAAAGGAAAGGGTATGTCTTAATTATTGAAAATCTATTGTCTGAGCTTAGTGTGGCCACAAGTAAGGAGAAGAATGGAGTTAAGAATGACCTGTCTTGGGGTGCCTGGGTGGCTCAGTGTGTTAAGCCTCTGTGTTTGGCTCAGGTCATGATCTCAGGGTCCTGGGATTGAGTCCCACGTCAGATTCTCTGCTCTGCAGAAGTCTGCTTCCCTCCCCTACCCCCCCACCCCCACCTCTCTGCCTACTTGTGAACTCTCTCTGTCAAATAAATAAATAAAATCTTTAAATTTAAAAAAAAAAAAGGAATGACCTGGCTTTAGAAGGTTGGGGCCTAAGAATAATGGCAATGGAGAAGGAGATCTGGAAGAATAACTGTCTTCAAAGATAAGGCATATATTTTTGTTGTTGTTGTATTAACTTTTAGAAGACTGGCTTATATATATCCATTTGGAGTTTGTTTTAGAGACTGCTGGAAAGAGATCAGAGTGTGCATTCCGATTCAGAATGTAGAACTCATTTTTGCCTTGGCAGTTTGCTCTGATAGGTGGTGCTAGTGTTATATTTTTGATGATACAAGGAGTGAAGTGGTCCCTGGAATTACACCTTATTAAATCTTTGGAAGAAAAAAATCAAGAGAAAAGTACAGATATGAGAGTTGAAAGACCTGAGTTTATCATTTGTTTAACCAGAATAAGAAATTGTTAAGATGTGTGTTTGTGTGTTCTCTCTGGTTTGGGGGCTCAGGGGGCAAAGTAGTACTTCTGTTTATTTACATGTTAGAAAAAGAATGGTCTTTTCCACTGTTGGAAGAAACACATAGGGGGGTGGGGGGAAACAGGGAACGTGTATATGCAAAGAGAATGATCCAGGCAGTATGATCAGTTTCTAAGAAATTGAATTATAGAGACTTATTTCTGAGATGAATCTAGAAGATAACTAGCCTAACTTCATTTTATGAATAAGGAAACTCAGACTTGTGGAGAAAAAGTTACTCAAACATTCAAATAATTTCAAAATACTGCTATTGCCATAGCAAAGGTAGATGATGAAGGTCAGACCAAGGTGCTCATGTTCCTTTCCAAGGCCTCTGTATCTGCCACACACTGCCTTCAACTGTGCCTTCTTGCTGATTTTTCAATCTGACACAAACTCCTACTTCTCATCTGCTAAATTACTTTCTTCAAAGAGTATTTTCTTTTATTAAATTATCACTGCCATCATTTATAAGCTGATCTAGGAGTGAGGGATAGGGAGGGGTAAGGGGGGATAGTGAGGGATATGAATGAGGGATAAGGAGGTCAGGAGTAACCTGCTTAGTTTTACAGACTGAAGTGCAGGACTGCTGTTCTCTTTCATGCCACTAGAAACAAAACAGAAATTTTTGTGTATTTGCTATTGATGGCGGTAATCAATCTGCAGAGTATTTTCCCTTGCAAATATGGGAGGAAAGACTGGGACTGTGTATGTGTGAGTGTGAGTGTAAGAGTGTGTGTGTGCACATGTGGTTTTCTTTTGGAAGGTTTTATATAGTATAGCCTTCATATTGTGAAGGCTAAGTTAATGTGAAGTAATAAAAATAAAATTCATCTCCGTTCCCAAGCTCTGAAAAAAAGAATCCATCAGAGTAAAGGCTGCAATTTATAGTCCCAGCATTCTTCCCATGAGTCGTCATACTCTTTTTGTGATACTTATCAGCAGTATCATAGGAGCCTAATGCCTAGCAGGTGCCTCTGTATCAGCCAGGCTTGGAATGCAATCACGTCTCTTCCTCCTAGTGTAAAGACGATGTGCACTGGAATCTAGCGGCTTCAGAGAGCTCAGGCATGGAGTGTCTCCAGATGGGTGGCCAAAAGTCCATTCTCCCTTAGAGCACTGCCCATGGTGAAGGGCAGATGTTTTACATGGTTTGTTTCCTTTAAACATATGAATGTGTTGTTTGGTTTTGGGTTTTTTGGTAAAGAGTCAAGCTGAATATGTGGTTCATGAGAATTATCCTTAAAAACATTGTCCTGGGGCACCTGGGTGGCTCATTCAGTTAAGCGTCTGCCTTCAGCTCAGTTCAGGATCTCCAGGGTCTTGGGATTGAGTCCCACATCAGGCTCCTTGCTCAGTGGGGACCCTGTTTCTCCCTCTGCCTGCTGCTCCCTCTGCTTGTGTGCTTGCTCACTCTCTCTCTCTCTCTCTCTGTCAAATAAATAATCTTTTTTAAAAAAAGTTTTCTTACCCAGATATAGAACTTAGAAGAATTTTGCTGCTGATGTGTACATTTAATATGGGGTTTTTCCCCAAAAAACATTTTTAAATAATGGTGCATCTTAGAATCAATGACATCATAGAACATGACATATGAGTAGTGAAACACTTGGGTGATAAACAAATGTATGCTTTATCTCCGTCCTGGTGGAATCTTGCCTTATTTCAGTGTGTATTGCCTGTACTAGTTATGTTGCCCATCGGGCTTTCCTGTTTCCATAGTGAGGTTTCCACTGCACTGTGTTGCCTAATGTTGCTAGAAATGGTTAGGTGGTCTTGGTTGTTAATTCTGGGAATGAGAGCAGATGTTTATGCTATGCTTACTGTTCTTGTTTCAGTGCATGAAGGCAGCCCTCTGGGTGAGCTCCATCGTTGTATCCGGGAGGGAGTGAAGGTGAATGTTCACATCCGCACTTTCAAGGGTCTTCGGGGCGTCTGTACAGGCTTCCTCGTCGCCTTTGACAAGTTCTGGAATATGGTAATTAAGCCTTTCTTAAGAGGTTGGAGAACTTTTTAGTGATTACATCTTTTGTCTGTCTCAAGTAACCTTATTTAGGAAAACCTATAGAATAACTTCCCAGAAGAACTAGGATTTTTGCATTCTTGGCTGACAACAAAAGAGTACTTTCTGTTGATTCCTTTTCTTTAAGGCATTGGCTTTCAATCAGAGTAGTTTTACTCTTCTCTCCCTTCTAGGGACATTTGCCAGTGTCTGGGAACATTTTTTAAATTGTCATAACGGTGGCATAGGGTATTATTGGCATCTACTGGGTCGAGGCCAGAGGGGCTGCTGCACATTGTACAGCACACAGGATAGCCCACCAACAGCAAAGAAGTATCTGGTGCACAATGTCAAGTGCTTACTGGGTATTTACCCCAAAGTTACAGATGTAGTGAAAGGAAGGGCCATCTGTACCCCAATGTTCATTCAGCAATAGCAGAACTAAGATGCCCTTCAATAGACGAATGGATAAAGAAGATGTGGTCCATATTTACAATGGAGTATTATGCCTCCATCAGAAAGGATGAATACCCAACTTTTGTATCAACATGGACGGGACTGGAGGAGATTATGCTGAGTGAAATAAGTCAAGCAGAGAGTCAAGTATCATATGGTTTCACTTACTTGTGGAGCATAAGGAATAACACAGAAGACATTGGGAGATGGAGAGAAGAAGTGAGATGGGGGAAATCAGGGGGAGACAAACCATGAGAGACTGTGGACTCTGAGAAAAAAACTGAGGATTTTGGAGGGGAGAGGGGTGGGGGGTTGGGTGAGCCTGGTGGTGGGTATTAAGGAGGGCACGTATTGCATGGAGCACTGGGTGTGGTGCATAATCAATGAATTTTGGAACACTGAAAAGAAAAGAAAATGGAAAAAAAATTGCATAACCCTAAAAAAGAATGTCAAGTGCTATGGTTAAGAAACCCAGCCTTAAGGAATAGTTACCTATTCCAACTGTTTAGGAATTTTGTATCAATTTCCTACTGACCATTTTTCATTGATTTCAAAATATTTATTGATTTCACACTTTGACTAGTACTTTACCACAGAGCTAGGTACAGAAATTTCAGAAAGGAACTTTTACTCTACAGTTTTAAGAAGATAGATGAAGATAGAGGGGAAGCAGGCATCCTAATAAGCCAGACACGTTGCGTGGTATTTCCTTAGGAAGGAAGTGTGCCCCCAGTCTCCTAGAGGCTGTCTGCTTACTAGACATTTGTGGTAATGAAGAGATACATTATAGCACAACTGCAATATGAGGCAGTTAGAATAGGAACACCAGGTTTTCTGGTACTTCTTTTTTATGTGGTTTTCCATCTCCAACTTTTCTTTTTCCTGCATTTTGTCTTCATCCGTGCATTCTCCTAGATGAGTATAGTAGTTGCTGGCATTTATTAAGCACTTAACTTTTGCTGGATATACTAAGGGTTTATCTCAATGAACAAAGTTTACTACTGCTCTATTTTACAAATGAAGAAATTGAGGCTAGAAATGTTGAATGATTGGCCCAGATTATCCTGTCAGTAAGTGGAAGTTCTAGAACTTAATCCCAGGTGTTTCTGACTCCTAAGACCATGTTTTCAACCACTGTGGAATCGGAAGACCTGGATTTGAATCCTAGCTTTACCACTTGGTAGTTCTGTTACTCTAGGCAAGGTAATTTCTCTGAGGCCCACTTTTCTTATATCTAAAATGTAGGGAAAAGTACTTTACTGTTACAATTTTACAATTTTACCTTTGAAGGAAAAGTATTTAAGAGAACATCTTTGATATGATGGCCATAATAATTATCCTGACAGCTTATATTTGTGGGAGGAGTTACACTTTTCAAATTGATTTCTCATACATGATCTCACTGGATCCTCAGAGATCCTCTGAGGCTGATCTCTCAGGGACAAAAATTCACCAGCAATTCTGTATGAAACCCGGTTAATACCTGTTCATTGCTTTCATAAGACCTAGAAACTGAGGAAGGAAAAGAAGCAGTAGAATAGTGTTTCTCAAAGTGCAGCCTAGGGGCATCCTACATCACGATTGTAGAGTTTCCGGTTAAAGCAGAAAGTTCCTGGGCTTTATCCCAAATCTACTAAATCAGCATATCTAGGAAGTAGCCTTGGATTGCTATTTTAACAAGCTTCCTAGATGTTTATGCATACTGAAATTTAAGAACCTCTACCATGCCTTTGGAAAGGCCCCTTACCATTGACAAAACCAATTATTATATGATGATAGCAACTTGGAAATCTTACTCAAAGGGTACCAGGTATTACCATTTTTTTCTGCCCAAGAGCAGAGTCACTTGGTAAGTTTAGTTCCTCTAAATGAGATGTTTATTCTGCTTTTTAAAATTTTTCCTGGAAGCTATAACAATAATATTTTTAATTTTGCTGAATTTTTTTCTCCTTTGGGTGTTTTTCTAGGCACTTACTGACGTGGATGAGACCTACCGAAAACCTGTTCTAGGCAAAGCATATGAGCGGGATTCTTCATTGACTCTAACTAGGGTAGGCTGTTTCCCCTGACTTCCTGAGTACCCAGTGTGCTTTCAAGCTGAGAAATGGAGATCACTGAATGTGGCGACTGGTTTTCCTTGTGGGAGAGCTCAGTTGCTGTCCACTATGTATGCCTGAATGAAGAGCTTTGTTAGTCTCACTTCCCATGCTTTCAGTTAATCGTAAATGAGTCTGCTTTTGACCTGCATGGTATTTAAACAACAGGTCACCTCTTGAAATCTTTCCATTTTATACCACAGGAAAATGAAGGTGCCTTTTCTCTTGACATTATTGATTTATCTGTATTATGGCTACACACAGAAGATTCATTACTAACTTTTTTTAAAAATGCACAACAAGGAGCCTATAAAACCTAATTAAGCAATCTGGTGGGTGTTTTTCTGTATATTCAAATAGGGATGTCAGAGGCTAAAGAGAAGGCTGATACTTATCATTGCTTTCCTTATAGCTGTTTGATCGCCTAAAACTTCAAGATTCTTCCAAAAAAGAAGGAGATTCTAAGTCTGCAGTTGAAGACTCCACTCTGTCTAGATATTCCCAGACGTCTACTTGGAAGGTGGCTTCAGTGTGGGGAAGAGGAGATACTGACCGGGGCTCACGCAGGCGTTCCCGCTCCGTTCCTTCTTCCCTGCAGGCATCTGCAAGGGAGGAGTCCAGGTCAGAAATGTCAGGGAGGACTACACGGACAGAAGGGTCAAGTGCGGGAGGTACCTTTTCCAGGGCCACCACCCTTTCCAGGGGCCAGCCCCGTAAGAAAAAGCGAAAGCCCAAAGTGGATTACCAGCAGGTATTCACTCGACACATAAATCAGATTTTCATTCGAGGCGAGAATGTCCTGCTGGTTCATCTTGCACAGTGACCAGCTCAACCTCATGGGAGCTTTGGTTTTTAGAAATAAAATGCATGAATTGCTGCTATGCTGTATCCTAGTACCCTAGTGAAACTCTGAGTTGGAATCATTCCCTCTGGTCATGCATGTACAGAGCATAGAGCCAGGCTCAGGCCCTCTGGAAGAGGAGCTCCCTCCAGGGCAGGGAGGGTATTTGCATTAATATCAAGTCAGAAGCCGTACGGAGGAAACAACCTGCATCTTATTTGCTGTCATGGTCAACTTTAGACATTCAAACCAAGTATCAAATCTTCATTTGAATTAGGGGTCTGGTAGGAATTAAATTCACCCCACAGATACTATAAGGATGCAAGGGAAAAAACACCTCAAAAAAAGTTATTTCATTTCTAAAAGCTAGTGCCCTAAGTACTCATGAATTTGATTCTAAGAGTAGCAGTATAAATTTCCCTGTAGTCTTGTATCCACAACTTGTAACTGACCTTTGAATTTTGCTTTACACCATTCTCCCTTCATCAAGATATGTAATTTATTATCTTTGAATAGCTATAAAACTAAGAAAGCTACTAACTTATGAAAGAGTAAAATTTGGGTAGCTGGTATGCTCAAAGCAGCCAACAATGAATATTCTGTTTTTACCCCTCTCCTTATTATTTAAAGGGATACGGGACTTCGGGGGTCTTCCCCACTTACCAGAGGTAGCTTCTGAGACTGGCATGCCAGGTGGGACTAGAAGATGCTCATGAGGTGGCTTCTTGTCCTTTTCCTACACTTCTGTGGCATGGTGCTAGTGCATGTACCCATGTATTGCCCTTCTGTGTGTAGTGCGAACTGTTCCGTGAGCTTATGGCAGGTGACTGTGACCTTCATATATGGCTTCAAAGAGTTCTGCATGAACTCAGTAGTACATATGCATCACATGGTTGAGAGTTCCCTTTCCAGTTAGGGCTGGACTGCATAGAGTAACTTTCAGAATGGTATTTCCATGAAACAGGAGTGCTAGTTTTATTCCCTCGTGTCACGCCGAAGAGGTTCTTACAAAGTACAGTGGGTGGCATCTAAGGGACACTTTACTCACAGCCTGGCTTGAGTAACAGGAACACTGTAGCACCCTCTGGTACTTCTACTTGAATCATAATATATGCTTTTTCAATCACTAGTACAGAACAGGCTACATCTAGACACAGACTGTTAGGCAATAATTGATTTTTCATTTTGTTTGTATTTGGTTTTATTTTAGAATAACATGTTCAAAGTGAGAATAAGAAATAGATAACTAGTTAAAATGCTTGAAAAAAAAAATTACCCTTCTGTGTTTTTTATGTAACTTAGGTAAGCCTTCTGAGAAGCAGGGTGAATAACGTCGAGGGAGTTAGGCCACCTGGTCCTTCTGCTAGCTGGGCCACTGGCTCATCATGCAATGAAGGGAGAGTGACTTAACCCCTCCGTGCCTCGGTTTTTCCCCTCAGACACCTACCTCACAGGGGCACTGAGACAAAGAATTTTAGGAAGACATTTTAAAGTCTTTAAACATATTTAAGTGCCATGAGTAACTTTTACTAACTATATTTCATAGCTTGGTAAGAGTTCTATGTCTTATGAGCAGGGTAGGTGCTACATACGAAAGTCATCTCTGTAGGTGTCATAATTATGAACTTGTCCTCAGAAGGCAGTGATATCTTCAGGAACTGTTTTCCATAATCCATTCCTTTCTCCTAAAGGCAAATGGAAGTTCTTAGAAGAATATCCTCAATAAAAGAAGAGTAGTGTTTCTTTGCTGCTTCCCCCACATCCCAGCCCCAACCCTTTTCTGATCATCGTCAGAAAGAATTCCCCTGAACTTTCAAGGGATTTATACGGTAGTACCAAAGGGACAATGCACATCTAAAAATGACACATCCCCAAAGGGGAATTGTGGAAGATGTTTTGTTTTGTTTCGTTTACTTGCTTTTATTTTAAAACGCACTGTAAATGTTTGTCTTTAGAGCCATATCAGAAACATTCGGAGAGGTTCCATGTTACAAAGTCAAGCAGTTACCTTTGGAATCCGCTCACCTAAATTCTCTTCTAAGTGGTCTGTCTAGAATCTCAGTTCCTCAGTTAATAGTTATCTTGTTGAATCATCAGGCACCCCTGCCTCTACCTCTTTACCAGTCTTTCCTGTTAGATGTCTTCCTGCGTCTGCCGTTCTGTCCCTCGGCTAGAAGCTGCCGTAGACACCAGGTTTTCCCAATAAAGCGTAAGTTTGGTATCAGAAGGAACATGTCCATTTCCATCCGTTTTAGTGCCTGACTAAACCCAATGTGATTTATTTTAAACACATGCTGCATTTTCATGTTTGTATATAATGTTCATATGTCCAGATAACAATTGGTTTGCTACTTTTCTGTCTAATCTAATAATTCTGGCTCTGAAAATTATTTTAAACTCATGTGATCAGTCTGATGTGCCCATATGCCCCTCTTAGTGATTCTAGGGTGAAAACTATTTAAGTAGTACATGTGGTGTTTTGTATAAAGTATGACAATTCTTTTTTTAGGAAAGTCAATTTTTAAAAGTATTGCCTTTTCTTTATTATTGTAGAAATCTTTCAAAAGGAAGAAAAAATTGGTTCTATTAACCTATATGCTGCTCAAAATATATCATCACCTAGAACATTTTAATAAGTTGTTATGAAAATAACTGAAGTCTTCCTCAGGAGAAGGAAAGAAAAAGGGAAAGTAACAGCCAGAATGGTAGAGTTCTGGAGGCCCCCACGAGCTCACTTGAAGGGGTGCCCTACACAGCTAAAATGCAACAAAACTGGTTCCAGGTGTTCTCCGGGGATTTGGGCTTAGGACATTCAGTAGGAATAGTACTTATTTTTGAACATCCAACATGGGTTCTTCAAAGTAATCTCTAGACATGGGAATCCATTTCCGAGACAGTTCATGGGGCGTACCTGTGCACTTCTTGAGGTCTTCTCAGGAGCACTGAGCCACGGGAGATGTGGTTTCACACCCAGAGTGATTTCATGTGCCATTCTTTGTGCACAGAGGTGATCCTGTGCCTCTACCACCAGGAGAACTTCTGCTTTAGGTTGTTTGTTCTAGAACTTGGGAAGCATTTATGCTCTTTCAGAGACCATCTTATGATGGCGGGCCATTTGTGAGATGGGTAGCCAGTGTTAGCCGTGTCTAAGGCAGATGGCTTTACACCAGTCAGTTTCTTGCTCTCTGTGCATGGTGTATATCAAGTCAGAAAGCCTAGAAACCATTCGCATTAAAGTCTAGGTGCATGAGAATCCTTGCTCTGAGTTGGTGGGTCAGGAGGGGCTTCATCTCTCCTTGTGATGAAATTGTCCAGGCATACCTTTAGAGATTGTCAAAGCATGAACCATGAGCTGTCTTTAATCCTCAGAAGCTGTGTACAGAAGTCTAGGAATACCACTTACCCCTTGAGAGAAAAATAGAACCCTAAGTTGATGCTGAGGGGTTTTATATTTCTATTTACAATATCCCCAAAGCCACTGACATGGGCAAAATCATGAAATAGAATCAATTCTGTAAATTTTCTCTTAGTTTTTGCCTTTAGGAAAAATTAAAGTTATTCAAAGACAGCCGGCTGTCACTGGTGCTGCCCCAAATCTTTCCCATTTTTATGTATTTTTTGTGAACGAAATGGTTGCTATGGGAAGGCCAGGGTTCACCTTCGAGTATCATGGTATAGATATAATGGTTTAGCAACTGTTTTAATTTTTCTCTTCCTGTGCCAGATACTAACTTCAATCAGCCCCTTTTCAGGAGCTTCTATGCATCAACCTATGTTTTCCTGGGCAGTAACTCCCAGATGCTTTTCTTAGGGATTATAAAGCAAGAAAATCTTATCTGTGCCTATGTTGCAAAGGTGGGTGGTCTGTCATTACTTTCTTGCAAATTGAGTTGGTGGATTTTAGATAAGTCTTTGGGGTTCCTGTCACAGGTTCCTGGGCTCTGAGGAAGGGTTGCGCCTCTTTTACTCTCAGTGTTTTGAGTATTTTTCAAGTGTTTGTAACTTCTCTCGCACTCCTCTAATAAAAATGAAAGCTATCTGTCAAGGAATGGCTTTGGATGGTTCAGAGATCTAGGGAAAAAGAAATAAGTACACCTGAGACCTTCAGTTGGTCTTTTATTTATTTAGAATGAAAAGTAGTTTGATAAGCTACCAGAGTTAGTGCTGCTTTAAAAACACTCTCTGAAAAGATGGCAACTGTCCCTCAGGAAAGCTATAAAAGCTATTCCCAATACATCGCAATTGCTTTTGATTTTTAATCCTTTGGAGCAAATGTCTGATGTTATGTCTGATGTTATGTTTTTAGAGCTGTGGGGGAAAAAAATGTCTAAACAATCTTAGGAGGTATTATTTAAATGATTATCTGGCTGAATTCTGTGTAAGCTAGGTTCTAGGGCAGCTGTCCAGTTCTTTTTCTGTTGTCCCGACAGTAACACAGATAGTGAGCGATGTCTTGAAAAGTGATTTGCTTATTTCATACTGACATCTAAAGACATTAGCCTTCTGTTTGGCAGCCCTGGGGATACCCCTCTGCTCCGTGACTTATTAATGTTTTTTAAGACAAGGCTAACCTGGATGACTCTCTGTATTTATAGTTTCAGCATTCATATACCAGCTGCTAAAAGAAAAACCATGACTTATAATCTTGTCTTGAAATTACTCCCAATTGTGAAGTTCACCTAAATTCTTCATGTTTAGGGAGGATTGCTGCTAATAATGTCAGTTTGCAGTGTTCTGCTTTAGGTATGTGTCATATGGGAGTCTGGAAACTGTAATAAATATGATTGTATTAATGTACTGACTGCTTTGTCTCTGCTGATTTTGAGGGGTAGGGGAGGGGAGGAGGCAGGGGAGTTTATTACCAAGTGAAGACACCCCTTGAAAGTTAATGCGTTTCAAGCCTTCTGCCATCTCATTGTTATAACCTTGTGCCTTTTCTTTACCAAAGCACACACATCTACATCAACTCTCCTTGGGGTGACTTTGTTCTTCCATGTTTATCAGAGACTCCTTCTTAGAAAAGGAGCTAGGCCCACATCATGAATTATCTCTTCCAAGCTCCAAGCAGTGGTAATTGCCCTGTGAATTTATTCTACCTAATAGCTCACTGGCATTAACCCCCTCTCTTCATGCTAAGGTCACCCTTCACTCTGCTCCCTCTAAGGGTTTGACCACATTTGACTAATTGATCCTCACATGGTTCCGGAAATATTTGAATTTGTCACCAGCTTCCTTCTGTGCATGTACCGGAAGTTGAACTGCCCCAAGATTTGCCACATGGACTACCTGATCTCCTCTGTGTGCTTTCAGAACTGAGTCACCTGGGTAAGGTAGACAAAAATCACACTGATGCTTAGGGAAACCTCAAGTTAACCATCAAGACCCAATTCTCCGCTTTCAAAGAATATATTAAGCTGGGTTTAGCTGACATACAAGAATTTTCTAACCAATACAGTGGAGGGAAGAGAGGCGAGACCCACATACTCCAATTCTTCCCCTTGCTTGTTTGTTTTGTATCTCAAAGACTTCTGATTAAATGAGAATGTCCTCATTAATCAAAATAAAGGCAGAAGAGTCAGTTAGCTTGACATTTAAAATGTACGGTGACAGTTAAATATGGGCAGGGGGATGGAAGCCAGTGGAAGGAGAGATACCTATTATCTTTTCCTAAGCTTCCTGGATTTGAATGGCAAGGACAAGAAGTTTATTGCCCCACCACATTCTTTCCGGAGCGGAAGAGAAGCACTCCTCAGTCTGCTCAGCCGCCGCTAGGTGGCAGTGGGTTCAAGAGAATGGCGAAACTGGAGTCCCCAGAAGGACATGAGTCTCCATACGGCTACCGCTACCAGTCATTGTTAAAAGCTCACCAGTCTGAACCTAGATGATGGAGGAGAAACAAGCTATAATCAACCCAAGTGGCAATATAAACGTTTCTTCCCGGGGCGCCTGGGTGGCTCAGTGGTTAAAGCCTCTGCCTCAGGTCATGATCTCAGGGTCCTGGGATCTAGTCCCGCATCGGGCTCTCTGCTCAGCAGGGAGCCTGCCTCCTCCTGTCTCTCTCTGCCTGCCTCTCTGCCTACTTGTGATCTGTCAAATAAATAAATTAAAAAATCTTTAAAAAAAAAAAAGTTTCTTCCCAATATTGGATTTGCCTAATTTGAAGCCTAGGAAAGCTGACTGATGGCAATCAGCCACTGAATGTGCTTGGAGAAGAGTGGTGAACAGCGAGCTTGCTCAGCGTCCTCTGTTTCAGAGTGGCTGTCACTGGTCTCATATCATGGTCTCACGCATCTGGTCAGCTCCACCCAGCCTCTTCCCAGCTGCTGGCTAAGGAGTACCCCGGGGAAACCGTCTCGATGCTCCCATTTCTCAGCAGTTGTCTCACTTTTGGAAACAATTCAGTTCTACCCAGTGTTGATGCCCGAGAGCCCACTTATGAGAAAGGTTGCGTCTGTCTTATGGGTCCATGACCAGACTTGGGTCTCCACTCTGAGACTAAGCAAATATGCTCCTGAATCAAAGGAAAACTTAAAATGGACACAGAAAAGTCTGTTTTATTAGGCTGGACTCGGGGTATAAAGGGTGGGTGGTCAGTGGTAGTGAGTCTCCTAGCACTTCATGTCAAGGCCTTCAAAAGACCATGTTCCCTCTATCCCAAGAAATAATTTCTCAGAAGCATATAATAAAGAGGATTACCAAATATGAAATAATAAATAGGTAAGGTCTCCAAATGAATAATTAAATATAAGATTATAATTTAAAAATGTATCTTGTGCCTTTTGGACTATAGTAACTAGCACCACATTTCACTCAATCATGCTATGTGAAGGGGCAGCAGACAGATCAGGCAATAAGAAATACTGTCATTTTTGAGCATCTCAGCCCTGTGCCAAGCATATTATAGGCATTACCTTATTCAAATACAACCGCCATAAGAGAAAGATTTTTATCTCTGCTACATAAGTGAGGCAAGTAGAACAGAAAGTAACTCGGGATGCCTGGGTGGCCAGTTGGTTAATTAAGCATCTGCCTTCGGCTCAGGTCATGATATCGAGGTCCTGGGATCACCCTGCTTTGGGCTTCCCTGCTCAGCGGGGAGTCTGCTTCACTCTCTCCCTCTGCCCCGTCCCTTGCTTGTGCGTGCATGCGCTCGCACTCTCTCTCTCTCTCAAATAAATAAATAAAATCTTTTAAAAAACCCACAAAAAAATAGAAAGTAAATTGCCAACATCTCTTTGCTAATCATTGGCAAATTTGGGATACTATCTAGGTCTGACTATTGAGTTTATTATTAGCCAGCTGTAAGTTAAAAATATTAAATTTCTCAGGCACTGACCAGGAAAGAGACAAAGCTGAGTCATCCCCTCTGATTAATCAGAAACCAGAGGGCTGTGTTAAAATATGGTTTGGTGATCTGCTTCAAGTGTCTCTAGTCCCTTCTGATTCATACTGTTCTTTAGCTGGAAGTGAACATGCACACAGGGC